GACAGGGTCTCACTATGTAGTTCAGACTGCCCTGGAACTCACTGTGTAGCCCAGGTTGGTCTCGAACTCACAGTGATCCTCCTGCCTCAGCCTCCCCAGTGCTGGGATTACAGGCGTGCACCACCATGCCCAGCCCTCAACAGCATTTTTTATAAAGTCCTCTATGTCTGTAGGCTTGAAGTGACAGACTACTGGTGCCCCAGTCACCAGCTGGTTTGCCTTGGGAAAGCGGGGGAAGGGAACTTGTGCCCAGGAGCCCTCTTGGGTGGGAGAAATTCCCTGGCCGGTCAGCAGGCAGCATGCCGAAGTTAGTCTCTCTGCCCAACTCACTGGGCTCGGGCTGCAGCTTCCTCCTTGGTGGCAGCAGTTTCCTATGTGTTGTTGAGGGGCACAGCACCCGCTCTGTGCCGGGACAGCCCCCTTCACGGCGGGAGTTGCCCCGTAGAAGGTGCGTGAGGTTGGGTACCTCTCCTGTGATCTGCCTTCTGCACAGTTTCCCAGTGCTCACACTGGCACAGCAGGGGCTCAGGGAGGCAGCTCAGGCCTGGTCCTGCCCCAGCAGTTCTGGCCTCGCAGCTGAGCTCTGTAGAACAGGCAAGGGGCAGAAAGGCCTCAGTCACCCACAGCTTGGGCCACTGCTCTTAGCACCAATGCTGCTGTGTCTGTTGCTCCAGGCACATATTAAGTGGCTGTGCAGTGCCCAGGGCCTGCCTGCGTATGCACAGAAGTCCAGGAACAGAAGCACCGAGGGTTCTTCCTTGAAAGAGGCAGGGCAGTGGCCTCAGGCTGGCACTGTTGCAGGCAGACTCAAGAGGCAGGAAACCATTGTTGCCTCAGCCTGCCACTGCCTTACGCCATGGGCATGGTTGGTTAGCATCTTTGGGGCCCCTCCCATGCTCAGACAAGCAGTAACTGGTAATGATGCCACCTCCTGATGCTGAGCACCTGCTGGGCTCATCACAGGCCAGGCACTGTACACACTCTGTTATGGTGACTGCTGCCGCCTCACTTTCTGCTGTACTGGGATTGGACTTGGAGCCTGTATGCTGGGCTACACCCTCAGCCCCTTTTTGTTTTTTTTGAGACGGTCTCACTATGTAGTTGAGACTGACCTGGAACTCACTGTGTAGCCCAGGCTGGTCTCAAACTCACAGCGACCCTCCTGCCTCAGCCTCTGAGTACTGGGATTACAGGCGTGCGCCACCACGCCTGCAGCCCTTTTTTTCAAGACAGGATCTTCCTAGGTTGCCCAAGCTGGTCTTGAAAGTGACCTTCTTGCCTCAGTCCCCAGAATGTTGGGGTTTGCAGACCCCACACCCAGTTCAGTTGCCCTGTTTTGCAGAGACTCCAAAAGCACTCGCCAGAATCCCACAGAGCCCAACTGTGGGCAGTGTGGTCCTTGCTTCTGCCAAGTGGCCTTTTCCTCATCCCACCACTGGCAGGGTCATTTCTGGGGCCAGCTCCGTGTCCCTGGGTGTGAGTGGAGGTCATTCAAGGACCTCTGTCACAGGGTTGATGAAACAGCCTTCCTCAGGGTCACTGGGATTCAGTGGTCAATAAGACACAACTCTGTCCCCAGGCTGAGGGGACCCCGTGTTCCCCATGGCCCACCTGTACCTGACAGGAAACAACAGGTTGGAAATGCAAAGAGGAAATTGCCACAGGCATCCTGTAACTCAGGAGAAAATCACGACTTTGCGGGCTACCCCTTCCTCCCTTCCTCCTTCGTCCGTGGCAGTGGAGTCCTTCAAGGACACTGGCTGGGTCGGTGCCCTTGGTTTCCATGGAGTCCACAGAGCTGGCAGGGTTGCTGGCCGTGGCATGTGACCATAGGACCAGGCAGGCCTGCCCTCCTAGAGCCAGGGTACAGGACACCTGTGGGGGAAGGCAGTGCAAGCCCGGCACCTCAGCTCTGTCTACCCTGTCACTCAGGCTGGTCGCAGATGGGGACTGTGTCCCCCTCTAGACGGGGGTGGGTAAGGCCACTCGTGCAAGCTGAGGCTGCCTTCCGTGTTGGTCCTCAGAGCAGGCCAAGGCCAGGAGCTTGCAAGCAGACACTTGACCCTCTTCCCTTCAGTGGCCTCCTGAGAGCACAATGGACAGCCCTTGCCACCAGCAGCCCCGTCACGGGCCTGGCAGGCCAGCTGGTCTCAGAACACACAGCTGAAGATTCCGTGAGCCCCGCCACCCACAGGAGCGGGGTGGAGGCTTTGGCGCTGCCCCCCATGTCCCAGGCACCTAGAGCCTGAATCCTGGGTGGGGTCCACTCCTCTGGGGGCCCCCAGGCCCCGTCCTTCCAACTCTGGCCCAGCCCAGCGTGCCTTTCACTGCCGGTTACAGAGTCCGAGGGACTGTCCCAGGGGCTCCTCAGGGTGAACAGTGGGTGCTCCTGGACTCTCAGGGTACCCGGTGCAGCCCCCAAACCTGGCAGCTTGCATGCCCCCATCCCTGTACCCCTCCCAGGGCACTGAGCCAATGGTGGACCTGATTCTGGGGACCCTGTGTGGTTCCAGCCTGGCACAGCCCTTCCTTCATACTGTACAGCCTGGCCCTGTGCCAAAGCTGGGCTCGGGGCAGAGGCCTCCCTGGGCCGAGCCTCTTGTCAAGGGCCCAGCGCCACGCTCCATGGCTTTTTTTGGGTGCAGTTCCTAGTGGTCACAGATGTCACACTAATCCCACATCCTCCCACAGCTGCAGGCTGCCAGTCGGCGATAACAGGAGCCTGGGCTGGCCTGGCTCAGGCTGGGGACGCTGCCTGGACGACACGAGTCACCAGCGCCAGAGCCTGAGTCCTGGCAGCCATGCTGCCCTGAGACCTCGCAGCTGCCCTCAGCCACCCCCACATGTGGGTGCCCCACAGCTGAGGGCTGCAGTGCCCCCCTAGCCCAGACTTGCCCACTCTCCTGTGTCTTCATGTTGGCGTTTGAGCAGGAGGGAACAGAAGTCACAGTCGGTCCCCCCTGACTGCGCGATCTGGGCTGGGCCTCTTCCTGTTTGCCGGGCTAGAGATTCCTTGACCAAGGGCAGCCTGACTCCTCCTGGTACGGGTAAGGCCTCACTTAGACCCTGTGGAGAGGCCCCCAGATCCCTCATGTTGCCCGGGTCTCCCTGATGTTACCTTCCGGGAGTGCGGATGCTGCAGCCAGGCGTTCCCTGCCCCAATCGCAAGGTGTTGGGTAGCAGCGAG